TTACCTCCTCTCACATAATAGCTAGAATCCCACACTGAACTGGTGGAGGGACCAGTGCAAAAGTTAACTAGATAAGCACCCTTCAAAAAGAGTCTGAAGAGGGCCCATATAGTTTGAAACATCTGTGGGAGACTGCACCACATCTGTACCAGGTATACTCTTCACCTGTAGAGAAGATATGTGTCACAAAAACAGCCAGGAAAGATGCACATCCAGTATGTAAGCGCTGGATGGTGTAGAGTGGTGAGGGTGAGTCAGACCATAATCAATGGGTCAACTTCAGTCCAAATCCAGGCAGTGTTGGGTATTTTTCTTCCAGTCCACAATAGGAGGAGGGTCCAGACTGTATTCACCTCAAGCCCAGGAATTGGAAGGGAAATTGCACTACCATTTCAAAAACACAAGCAGTGCACATGTGTGCAGACCCAATAAACAATCACGCTACCTGGGAACCCAACATTCGGGTAACAGTAGGAACGGGGAATAAAATGTGGTGAGTCAACTCCAGTTCAAAACCTGCAGCATTGGAAACTTAGCACCCAGTCCGCGGTAGGAGGGTCCCCACCAGTCACACATGTGAGGACTTATGGTGGTTGGTCGTGCTCCAATCTAACATCTGACAACCTGGGAACTAACATCCAGGCAACAACAGGATGAGGGATCCCAGCTGGACAGGTGAATTGTATGTGGAGGATTCATCCGGTCCAAAACACTCAACTGAGGGAAACTAGACTCACTCAGGAGGTTGCCTCCATGGTCCACCACCCTAGCAGCTAGGAGTTGATAAGTGACAAGGACTCTCATACCCCACTTGAAAAGGGAGGAGGTACACAACACCATAAAAGGTGCAATGGGTGACCATGAAAGCAGGATCAGAGGAATGGGCAGCTATCATGACACTACTTGACTCATGATAGTACAAGTTGGTATGGTTTGGAATGGACCTTATCTATGAAACAAAACAATACAAGGAACTTTCTAGTGGTCTTGTGGAACACTTCTTCTCAACAGTGAGCATTATAGACCTTTATGGCTGTAAAGTGCAGATTTATGGATTAGTATACCGGGAAAGCCATTACTAGCCACAGGATGGAATCCAACATGTAAAAATGGGCCACTGTAATGGAAATAAAGAAATAGTTACCAACTCACAGCTGAACCAAGGTGTGCAGAATGGCAAAGGGTGGTAATCAGTATCTAGAGGAGGAGGAGGTGGCTACATGAAGCACACAACGAATAATAAAGGTGTGTGATTTGGTCCACATACTAGTCTGAATGATCACTCCCAGTAAACAATGGAAATGTGCAGTCAGGGTGAGGATGTGGTGAGAGATCAGGTGGGAGGATGCCTGGAAAAGACGATGGGGATCGGAAGACAAGGAAGAACAAGCCAACTGAATAATTTGACAAATCCAACCCATAAGGTTTACAGGGGAAATGTCTCGGGTAGAGGAAGGGTTCCAATAGAGAAACAGGTGGGAATGGGATCCACAGATGGAAGCCATGCAGATAACATAACACCAGAGAGCACAAACAGGACAGAGAAGATGATCTGGGTTGAAGCAGGAAAATGGAAGGGAGGGAAATAGGTGTGAATGTGATGTCCTCTTCACAAGCTGTCAATGCCTCGGGGACAAAAAATACTATCTGGAAACAGAAGAACATAGGTACAGTAGTAAAGAATATGAGAAATATCAAGGGTGAATATATCTGACAGATGATGATCACAGGCAAAAAAGGAGTAAAACATAGGTTTTCAAGGACAAGTGTTAAAAAAAACAGGTAGCCAAGAGTTCAAAAAGAATGTTGAGTAAAGGCATGTAGAACCCAATCTGGAAGGAGTATAGGATGAGATGGATGAAGGAAACAAAATGATCAAAACAAAAGAGAGAGTAAAAATGGAAGTTGGTGAATAAGGCTGCCTGATAACCAGCAATGGTAGACACAGATGAACCACAGTCAAACAGACATGTAAAAAAATCCTGAAACATGAGGAAAACTAGGAAGGGAAGAGAGTTAACCATGTTGCAGAAACTACTGACAAAAAATGCATAATTTTCTCTGATAAACCATTAGGGATGAAGGACAGACCAAATGGGATGCTACCTGTATGGAGAGTCTAGACTGCCTCACATGGGATTAGACAAATGCCATGCATGAATCTGGTGCGTGGGTATGGCAGGATGACACACAGATCACTGAGGTTACCAGAGGAGGGAGTGGGAAAGTGAAAGCAGTAATGGAGGGAATGACTGAAGGATGGTAAGGACTGGGAACTACAATTGAGCAGGCTAGGAAGGGGCAATGAGAAGGACTCATTAGAGAGTGGTGTGGATAAGGGATTAAACCTGGGAAGGAAGTGAATAGGAAAATAGGCATAAATTTAAAGTTTGGACCAGTCCTGATTGAAGGTATCTATCACCAAAACCAAAAGATGTAGAATCAGGGACCAGAATATGGGGAGTTTGGAACTGAGATGGGTGGTAAATGCATCCAGGAGCAGATTATCCCACTGGGCACACAACCACCGAAACGCCTGTGAACCACTCCATGGAGAGAATCTTGTCAAAAAGAGACAATCAATCTGGAACAAGATTCAGAACACCCAGGACATGACACATTAGTAGACATATGTGATAAGAATGGGCCCAGAAGAGGAGTTGCAACATTTGAAAACAAAGCAAACGTGAACAGGTGTCCCCTTGGCAATTGATGTAAAAGACAGTGATAGAATTGCTAGAATGGATCATGACCAATTAGCCCCATACTAAATGTAGAAAATTATCCAAAGCCTAATGAATTGCAAGTAGCTCCAGAAGATTGATGTGTAGAGCCAATCTGACCACACACCAACTACATACAAACTCCTGGGAATCCATAAATGCCCTCAATCCATCAGAGAAGCATCTGTAAACAAATGCAACTCAAGGCAAGGAAAGGAAAAGAAGAATGCCAGTTGTGATGTTGTCCCAATCTGGCCACTAGTGAAGGAGGAAGAACAATAACGGAGTCCAGAGGATTCCGAGCAAGAATCCATTGATCGTGCAATACTCACTGTAGAACTCACATGTGAGTACAATCCAACAGAATGAGGGCTTCCATGGAAGCCCAAGACCCCAAAAGACATAGAAACGAGTAGTGTGAGAAGGAGAAGACTGAGCTCTGAAAACCAAGAGCTCCTTCGATCGCAACTAGAGAGGAGAAGGTTGGGCCCAACTGAGATAGGCATTGAAGAACACTCCCAAAGGGATGAGATATTGGATCAAAATGAGAAAGAACTTCTCCAACTTGGCCAGCCAACTAACCCACAAGAGCAGTCTCTTGAAGAAGTAAATGGATGTGAGTGTAAGATGTTTGTAGTGGTGGAGCTAAAGGAAGTCAGTCATCAATATAATGGTAAAATCATAGATTTTGGTAAAGAAGAAAGTAGGCAAAAGCCCTGAGAACCCAATAAAATACATATGGTGTGTTTGAGCACAGACAAAATGAAGGCAATGTCTGGAAGTTGGGGAAATAGGGATGTAATGGTAAGCATCCAAAGACCCAGAGTAAATCCCCACCAAAGAGTGAGGAAAGACTCCATGGTGAAAGCGAGAAAGTTTGATGAAACAGTTAAGACTGGACAGATCAATAACAGGGCACCAGTCCCTGGGCTACCTGGTAATTATGAACAACGGGAAAAAGAACACTGTAGGTGGTTGAGTGATGGGTACAATAGCATCCTTATGAAGAAGATCCCAAAACAATGGCAGGAAATTGGATCCTGAAGAAAAGTAAAGGGAATGGAATGTGGAGATAAATGATTGGGGTTCAGAAAAAGAAGGTAGAGTCCTTCAGATAACACCTGAAGCACCCAAGGATCTATGGTGAAAGCACTTCACAAGTGAACAAACCCAGCCAAATATGCCCTAACAGTGCTAGAATAAGAAAAGATTGTCACCTGTTCAAAACAGGAGGAAACGATTATCTGCCAAAAACCCTCATAGGAATGGTGGATGACCTTGGAGAGGAGATGGATAAAGGAAAGGTAACACAGAAGGTTGATGAGGGTCAAACAACAATGTGAAAATTGGGCCTGGTAAAGTTTTTCTTTATTACCCATTCAAGCCATCTCCAAGCATTATTAGCTTGTGGATAATGTAATTCAACAGCGTAATGAGATCTGCATATTTCCCCATGTGATTTACAACTTATAATGGCATGAATAGCAGTTAGACATGGTTCAAAGGGCTATAAAACTTAAGTATAAATAGATGTATACCTTAGGAGTTTAAAGCTACTCAGAATAAACAAATAGTTATGTTACAATTTGAAGTCATTCTAGAAAGAAAAAAAGGGTAATTTAAATTCATTTTGATTTTTTTGGTGGTTACGATGTCAGTCAAATTGACCAACCTTGTACAGAGTTAGGGTAGAGAAAATAATAGATAACATATAAAGTTTTCCTGAGAAAAAACGTTTGAAATGTACTTATGAGGTTTTAGAGATTACACAATTGAAATTTGAGATTTTTGAGATGAAAAAAGTTTTTAATCTTAACATGAAAATTACTTTGCACTTGGACTACTAAAAAAAAAAAGACTTGATATATTCGTGGACAAATCTTTATTAAAAATACTTCACTAAAAAATCTGATTTTTTGTATGTATAAGACAGGTAACATTTACTGAAAGTCTGCCAAGTTTTATGAAAACACACCGACTATATTAAAAGTTAGTAGTCTCGAAACTATAACAAGAACAAAGTGGTCACATGGTCAGTCAATTCGACCAAGCCTGTGTTGAAAGAGTTAAGCATTAAAACATTATTTTTACAAACATAATTAATGATATTTGTACAAAATTAAAAATATGCAACATACCTAAAATGAAAGTATTAAGTAAAACAGTTTTAACAGTGATATGTATAACTTATTGGAACTAACACTAGTGAATTTTTTTTTTTTAACTACCATATTTTTGTGCATGCATATATATGTTTCATAAAGGAAAATTTGAAAATTACATTTTAGTTACAGTCACACACAATTTCTTAAACTTACAGGTCATCATAAAAGGTGCTAAAGTTGGAAAAGTTCCATTATTACAGTAATTTCCCTGACAGCATTCTCCACTATATTCAGCAGTACTTGGTTCCTTCCCTCCATGGTGAAGTGTGTTACAGAAAAACTGGGCTTTATCCTCTGCTACACATCCTTTGTGAAATGTCTGGTATCCAAAGCTATCACTGACACTGTAACTGTAGCACTGAGAGAAGAAAAGAGAATGGATCATCATTTACCGACATCATAAAGCTGCACATCATATTTAATGACAAAATAAAAACATAACGTAAGATAAGAACAATAGCTATCTAATTCCAATTTAGTTTCAACTGGATTAGTAAACTTCTAGATCATCAATAGCCCCTGATGAAGCTGTAATAGAAACATATTGAGATAATAAAAAATTTTGGAGACATAGGTTATTATTTACATTAATATAAACAGCTATCTATACAGATTCTCCTTTCAATTAAATAAAATAAAGAAGAACCAAACTTAGATGAGAGCAAAATACATATCAGTTCCTTTACTTATGCCCAACTACAGGGATGTTATAGCTCTGTATTACATTATACTAAATGTTTTGTTTCTAATAAATGATCAAATAAAAAAATATGCAGTAAGTCACTGTATATCAGAGAAATCATATAGTCATTTCAATCACTAATTTTTATTCAAAATATTTTGCCAGCAATCATGAAAGCTTCATCCACTATTGCTTCAATGATATTCTTTATCTCTAGATGGAGATAACTCATAACTGTTTATTACACAATAAATGTGGGAAACAATTACTTAATTCATTAAGTCATCAAAGTGCTCATAAAGTCGTGATAGTTAGTGCTATTAAACTGAAAGTATTTCATCAAACTTAAGGTTTCCATTTTTCAAAGTCTACTTTCACCGATCTAACTTTATAGATAAATCTTTTCTGTTTTAAATACAAGTAATATAAGTTTAGTTATTTTAGGCTAGGTTACAATACATATTTTAAGCCAAACCCAGATCATATGTTCTTATTTTCAGATGCCTTGTATTACTAGGCAATGTGGGATTGTTACACCATAAGTTGCATCTTCACTTGGATTGAAAGATACAAAATAGCAATAGTAATAATATTTTTCTTTATATAGACATTTAGATCTTAACTAACTATATACATTCAACTCCATACCTTTCTTCAAAATGTTTGCATTTTTGACTCTCCACAATGAATAACCATTGACTGAACTATGTTGTTTACATTTTACTATCTGGCTCTACATAGGTATCACTAATTAAACCATGTACGGGTGTAAGGGAATCCCAACTTTATGCATATTAATAGGATAACAGTATTTTTTATGAATATTTTTTCAAGCAAGTGCAGTCAATATTATATAATATGCACCAGGAGAACATTCACATCACATTCCATATCACCTGATTTTACAAATGGCACATGATAACAATAGATTGATCAGGTCACTGACTTGAATAATCCTGTCATTATACTCTGTCAATCTCCAGTCGGTAAATTAACAAATATATTATAGTGAAACAGAGGGTGCTGAAGACTTTGAGTTATCAGATCATCAGCTTTTATTAAATTTCTTCATGATTTCACTTGACAAAGAGGATCAGTTATTTTTGTTTTCTTGGATTATATATATAATTTTTAAAAAGTTTTTTTCACTTCAAACAGATTTTTCTTTTTTAAGAAAAACCAATAAAAGCTTTTGAATTGCATCAAAAAAATTTGATTGGTTTGGTTACCAGAAACAATTTTTTGGCCTAACTTATCTGTTGCTTAAACAAGTGTTATAAATATTCTTATTTTCATTAAATCACACTTGTTGGAATAATGTTGTTGTTACTTATTATTAAATTGTACTTAAAGGTTCATAATACCTTTTTCTGCAGAAAAAAGGCATATTGTAATGCTGCTTATATATTTCATTTTCATCATTATATTATATATCTAGAATTTTATGAAATTACAAAGTCATCTAGTTAACACGTTATACAATATAACCTTCTTGTCTAAGCTGGTTTTCATAATTCATATTGCATACTGTAGAGATGAAGACATTCTGGCAATAAGGGTATCTGTAAAGTTAAGGACCTTTTTTTTTCCCCACTCAAACTTTAGTGCCCAAATTGTCCAAAATGTGTTTGGTTTATCACTATCTTCTCGATATTGTGTCATAAGATTTTACTCCTTTATAAATGATACTATAGGTATATAATACTGTGAATTTACATAGTAGAACAGGTGACAGTAGCAATGCTAGTTACCATAGTAACAATCTAATGGACAACTAATCTTCATATCTTTTGTCTGAACTCAATTTATTTAATCAAATAGGGAAGTTATAAAATACAGTATATACATGTGTGTGTATATTAACATAAAAGTTAAGTCTAATTACAAAAATTATAAGTAGTAACATAAAATCCAGACAATAGCTTTTACCCTAAAATATACAGATATCCTTGTATTTAATTTTACTTGATAATCCAACAAAAAATCAGTTGCTTAATTACATCTGTTATTTCACAAATTCAAAATATGATACAAACTTACCATTAAAGCATCACTACAAACTGCAAGTTCTTGTTGTTTACAGGAATCACCAGCACAAGAGTAACACTGGAACCTGTCAGTCTGATTATTCATTATGTTTAATAAATCCTGAAACAAGAATTAAAAATAACAGACAGTGGGTAATATTACTTATTTGTAAAAATCATGGTTTATCACTTCACAATGAATTAAGAAAATAGGCACTTCTGTGCACAGCAAAAAAATCTGTCAAATACTATTAATAATTTTTACTTCTGTAGCTGCATTAAATCAAATCCTTTGTTGTGATCTTTCATTTTAACAAGTGTTTGAGCCAAAACGATGATAATTATTTGTTAACACGTCTACCACATAGCTTGCTGTATCTATGATATGATCCAGCCCTGTCCATGGTTTCAAAACAGTTAACTACATTCACAATAAAATTACATAATTGATAATCTACAATGTATACATAAAAAAGGAGTGGCTTTTGCCATAACAACAATTATCAATTAGCATGAAGTATGCTTGTACAAATTGAATTAAAATCAGTGATATATCTTCATATGATATGGAAATGTTTTTGCTTGACTTTAGATTATGTTTGGAATAAAATTTTCACATGGTAACTGAGAACTCTGCCAGGATCATAAAACAAATTTAGTTAAAACTTGACGAGGCATTATAAATGAAAGTTGTATTTATGCAAGTGACTTAGAATAATATGAAAGAACCTATATGAGTTTACAGTGAACTGTGCGTTATCATATTATTTAAAACCTGTAAATGTTTAAAAAAAAGTCCCTAAAGTGGAGTATTTTTATGTTTTCTAGGCTGTTAAATAACACAGATACTAAACTATTTAGCGGAACTATAAATCACAATGTATCAATCTAAAACTGATTTATATTACTGTCAATAGTGCATCAAAAGTATTCTGTGATATTACCTAAATTATCAATGCAAACAAGCATCATTTAGTTAGAATTTATCAACCTTGTGTAATTCGGTTTTCTTATGTAAGTAAAAAGTAAACTTTTTCCATTTCTATACAAGTAACATGAACAACAACAATGCATTACAATTTATGTCACTACTGATAGCTATAAGTGCCGAGTTGGGGTGGGGGGCAGTAGCATACAGTAGCATGCTATTGTACTGATGTAACGACTGTTGTATCATTGCAATCCTAACAATTTCCACAAACTGGAGTAATATTGTACATGGTGTGATCATATGATCTGAATGGTAACATGGTTAGTGAAAAAACAGTAATTGGAAGAAACTGTCAAAAGCCTTGATATCAGAAAAACTAGTTTCAACACATTCATGATTTTGCCTTTAGTCTCACATTGTCTTCTAGCAGGAAAACTGGTCTAAAATGCCTATGTGATCCCAAACTTTTGAATTTCCAGGTAAAGAAGCCATTTTAACTTAATGACCTTGGGAGCTGTTTTTGATTAAGCAACTTTTGAAAATCCTTCTTTTTATGTAATTATCTGTTTTGTACAAAATTATTGTTGGTTTCCAATTCATTTGAAAGCTAGAAACTATATGAAGAAAAATGGCACTGTTTGTGTTTCCATTATTTAATGTCTTTTTTTATGCTCAGAAACTCTTGCATCAACATTTCTTCCAGTTTCATCTGCATGACCTTTCTCATAAGATTGGCATGGTATAATACAAACACCTTGTTTTTTGGCCTCAAGTAATGAAGTTATTTTTAATGGTGTTCAGATGACTGTCATCTCAACATAAATGGTGGTGTGGATTATCATTGTGCCGACCTCTTTAATTTGGATATCTTAATTTTGTATTTACAATACAAATAGTAAGTTATGATGTGAAAATAAGTGTATTAACCCACTTTTATTTAGATATGCTAATATGTTAACTTATGATATGGATAAAGAAAATTAAAGACCCTTTTCCTTCTTAGTTTTTTGTCCCCTCCAAAGATCTTCACAAGTTGATGTCTATGCACATGACACATTCAGAATTAGCTGATGACAGCATCAAGCTACTTGGTTTGTTTTGAATTTTGCGCAAAGCTACACAAGGGCTATCTGTGCTAGCCGTCCCTAATTTAGCAGTGTAAGACTAGAGGGAAGGCAGCTAGTCATCACCACCCACCGCCAACTCTTGGGCTACTCTTTTACCAATGAATAGTGGGATTGACCATCACATTATAACACCCCCACGACTGAAAGGGCGAGCATGTTTGGTGGGACGGGGATTCTATCCCGCAACCTGCAGATTGCTGAAGTTAAAAGTTTTAATGAGGTTAATGAGGAAAAGGAAAATTCACCAATAAGTTATACAGTGATTACCTATAGTTCAGAGTTAATATCAAACTGAAAATTATACTAGTCTCACGTTGTCAATTGATGTCAACAAAACACTAGTCTAATTTTATCACAAAGTGCTTACTGTATTTAATTTATGCAGTAGCTACCTCAGGTTGTCCTTGATAGGATGTTAACTCTTTCAGTCCAGGCTTGGTCCTTGGGACCTAACCTTGTAACCATTTTGTGTTTGTTATAGTTTTCATGTTATAACTTTTAAATTAGTAAGCAAATGCTAACGAAATTTGGC